AGTGTATTTCCTTTCTTACCCTTGTAATTACTCTGTATATATTCTGCAGTATATTGATTGAGACACCCAAGTTGGGGGCTTTTCTCTTCATTGTTATAGTTCTTCTTCTCCATACGATTTCTATATTGTCTTCTCTCCCCTGTATAGTCTTTCATGGTATCAGAGCCGGTCATGGATTCTGAATCAACCATGACTAACAATTCTGGTTCATCAGGAATGACTAATTCTCAATCTCTTCCCGTTTTCTACAACCCTAATGCCATCATGGCTCACACTCATCTTACCAAAGAGAATTATGTAAACTGGAGTACCCTGTTCAAAACACTTCTACGAGCCCACCAACTATTATTTGTTATTGACCCAAACCCACCCCCAAAAACCCTTGCTGATGGTACAGAGAACCCAGATCACCACAAATGGAAGAATACAATCGACCTGATCTGCTGCTGGATAAAAGGCACTGTTACCCCTGCCATCCAACCTTACCTAAACTCGTGTGACACTGCACCTGCAACGTGGAGTGTTCTAGCAAAACGTTTTGGCTCCACATCGGCTATCCAAATTGAAAACTTACAGGACCATCTCCACAACATGAAGAAACCAACTGACCTCTCGGTTTCAGATTATCTTCTCCAAGCCACAACTATATCTGATTCCCTCACTGCTGCAGGAAAACCTCTTGAAGACTATGAACTTATTCAGCGCATTCTTGGTGGTCTCGGTGCTGAGTTCAAAGAATTTCTCACCTCTATGTCCTCATCACATATCCGACAGTCACTTAATCTTGATGAACTGACGGAATTGCTTCTTAAAGAAGAAATGTTACAACAAAAATTTGCAATTCCAGTTGAGCAGACTACAGCCCTAGTTGCAACTAAAACCTCCCCTTCTCAACCTCAGTCATCATCTCGTCCCAATAACAGCGGGAATGGTAATAGGGGGAACCGTGGTCGTGGTAACCCTAATTCTGGTAGAGGCGGAAATCAGGGAAGAAATAATTGGGTTGGACAACAATGGAGCAATAGTTATGGACGAAATTATAGAGGTGGACGTGGTGGTGGTCGCACAAGAGGATCATTCAGAGGAGGAAGTTCTCATGGCAAGGGAATTTTACCCACTCCATCTCAGCAGCGGCACTTTCCTGACTACGATTCTCCATGCCAACTTTGATATCAGTATGGTCATGATGCGAGAGTTTGTGCACAACGTAACAATGCTGCATACTTCTCACAATCTGAACCTTATGTCTTGGACTCGGGTGCTACAAACCACATGACACCAGATCCCTCTAGCCTGTCCGATTATTCTCATTATACAGGTAAAAATTCAGTGATTTTTGGTAATGGCACAAGCTTACCTATCTCTCGTATTGGTAAATCTGCGTTCCTTCATAATAATCGTTTCTTTAAGTTGAATAATGTTTTGTTTATTCCAAATTTGCACAAACCTCTATTGTCCATTCGCCAATTTTCTAAAGATAACAATTGTTTCTTTGAACTTGACTGGTGTGGTTTTCGTGTTAAGCACATTCAAACGCGGGAGATTCTTCTTTCTGGTCATAGTTTTGGAGGTCTATATCAGCTGTCATTCAATCCAAATACACCTCACAGTCCAGTTACTCTCTTAGGCGAACGGTCAACTCCCAACACCTGGCATGATCGCTTAGGACATCCCTCTTCTAATATTCTTAAAGTTCTTTGTAGCAAGTTTCAATTACCAATAAATGGCAAACTTTCAGAAACACAGTGTTGTCATGTATGCCCCATGGGAAAATCAACTAAACTAGCTTTTGTTCCTAGGAATTTTAATGCTTCTCATCCTCTTGACTTGCTTCACCTTGATGTTTGGGGCCCTTCCCCGGTTCTTTCTATGTATGGTCATCGTTTTTACTTATCAATAATAGATGATTTCTCTCGTTATGTGTGGCTTTTTCCATTGTTCCATAAATCTGATGTTACCAATGTTTTTGCCACTTTTAAAACACAAATTGAGAATCAGTTATCTAGAAAAATCACAGCTGTTCATTCTGTTAAGACTATACAAACCGATGGTGGTGGTGAATTCACTAGTAGGCAATTTAAAGCTTCTTTGTCAAAATAGGGAATTAAACATCAAATCACTTGTCCCTATACACCTCAACAAAACGGTGTAGTGGAACGTAAACATAGACACATAGTCCAAATGGGTATGTGTCTTATGACAAAATCACACGTTCCATTTAAGTTTTGGCTTGAAGCATTTACCACTGCTGTGTACCTCATCAACAGACTCCCAATGCGTCAATTAGATTTTTTCTCTCCCTACCAAAAACTTCTCTTGCGTGACCCTGTTTATCGCTTTCTCAAAGTCTTTGGATGTTCGTGCTTTCCTTACATTCAGTCGTATAATTCTCACAAGCTTATGCCAAAATCAACTCACTGTATTTTTCTTGGCTATGATAATACTCGCAAGGGCTATAGATGTTTGGACTTAAAAAATGGTCATGTTTATATTTCACGACATGTTGTTTTTGATGAATTGGATTTTCCTTTGCGAAATAAAAGTGCAGGGTCTTTACCTGGTCAAACACAGCAACAACTGAGGACCAACCATATGGCTGAAGATATGCAGCACTCGTTTTCAACCTCACCTGCCACCTCACAACCCAACATTGCAGTAGCTCAAAACTCTACAAAAATCCACAATCCAAATATTGAGCAAACAACTCCCACCCCAAGCTCAATTCCAACACCAGTTCCTTCAACACCAACCACGCCTACAACAATACCAGGTAACCATCAACATACAAGTGTTGGGCAGACATCACAAGTAAACTTTACTCCATATACATCTTCTTCACCAGCCACCCCTGCATCATCTTCACCCAAAGTTCAAAAATTCACTCCTGAGTTATGCACTCCCTCACCTGCCATACCTGCATCTTCAAATATTACACATCCAGCCACTGAAAGTCCAGAAAGTTCAAACCGAACCCTCAAAATCAGGTCCCTTGCTGATATTTACCAGAAAACATCACCCCATCCATTGCCCCATGGTCTGATAGCCACCAAATTCGATGATGTGTTTTCTGAACCTCGAACTTTTAAACAAGCATCAAAATTTCCTCATTGGCAAAATGCAATGCAAGAGGAAATTACTGCCCTACACAAAAACAAGACTTGGCACCTTGTTCCTTCTCAGCAAGGTATGAATGTTGTGGGATGCAGATGGATTTTTAAGGTCAAAAGAAAAGTTGATGGCTCCCTTGAACGCCACAAGGCTCGATTGGTGGCACAAGGGTTCACCCAACAGGAAGGACTTGATTATGCAGAAACATTCAGCCCGGTAGTTAAACCATCAGCAATTCGTATCGTTCTCTCCTTAGCCCATGCTCAACGTTGGGATATCAAACAATTGGATGTCAAAAATGCCTTTCTCAATGGCATTCTTCATGAAGATGTTTATATGAAGCAACCACCGGGATTCATCTCTAAATCCTTCCCAAATCATGTGTGCAAACTAGACCGTGCCCTTTATGGTCTCAAACAAAGTCCACGGGCATGGTTTCAACGACTTCATGATTTTCTATTACACCAAGGATTCTTTAACAGCCAATCTGATTCCTCTTTATTCATCAAACACACGAATGAGTCTACTACCATCCTTCTAATCTATGTCGATGATATAATTATCACCGGATCCTCTCCTTCCGATGTTTCCTCTATCATTGATGTGATATGCAACACTTTTGACAGTCGTCGTCTTGGCAACTTACATTATTTCCTTGGCATTGAGGCTACTCGAAATTGTCACACTTTGCAGCTAAGACAGACTAGATATGCTCTGGATCTTTTGGAAAGATTCAACATGACTGGATGCAAGCCGGCTACTACTCCTAGTGCTCCTAATTCTCGATTGTCGTTACATGAGGGTGACCTACTTCCAGATGCTACTGAGTATCGCATCATGGTTGGTGGCCTACAACATCTCACATTTACCAGACCAGACATTGCATTTTCAGTAAATCAAGTATGTCAATTCATGCACCAACCTTGTACCTCTCATCTACAGGCCGCTAAACGTATTCTAAGGTTCATTAAAGGCACACTAAAGGAGGGTTTGTCATTCTACGTGTCAACATCTTTTCACATTCGAGCCTACTCTGACTCGGATTGGGCAGGAGACCCGAATGATCGTCGATCTACAACAGGCACTTGTATCTATGTTGGCCCAAATCTTGTATCTTGGACCGCCAAGAAACAACTGACCGTCTCACGATCAAGCAGTGATGCTGAATATCGTGCCCTTGCTACTACTACAGCGGAACTTAGATGGTTCTCTTACTTGTTTCGTGAGTTGAATATCTTTCTTCATCCCCCCTCTATCTTTTGTGACAATTTATCAGCTCTACATATGGCTTGCAATCCAGTATTTCATGCTCGTACCCGTCACATTGAGATAGACTATCATTTCATAAGAGAACTGGTCACTCATGGATTTTTAAAGCTACACTATATATCCACTGATGACCGGTTAGCAGATTTATTCACAAAGGGCCTCTCTAAAGTCAGGTTTAATGCTTTATCTGTCAAGTTGCGCCTCCCTTACGGACGTCTTACTTGAGGGGGGTGTAAGCGTAAATATTGTAACAAAATAAATTGTTTTATATATTTTTAGTATGGTTGTTAGGCTTGGTAATCAAGCATTTATGCCCTGTAATTAAGGCAGAATCTTTGCCTTATAAATGAGTGTATTTCCTTTCTTACCCTTGTAATTACTCTGTATATATTCTGCAGTATATTGATTGAGACACCCAAGTTGGGGGCTTTTCTCTTCACTGTTATAGTTCTTCTTCTCCATACGATTTCTATATTGTCTTCTCTCCCCTGTATAGTCTTTCAGGATGAGCTAGCACGTCTTGTTGAGGAGCCCATTTCACTATACGTCCTCCATCACCCACACTTTCTAGGAACTTTTCTGGCAATGCTTCAAGCCATTGTGAACCAGGAACTATCCCTGGTCTAACCACCCACAAAAATGGTATGCCGATATTCACCAGCCCATGGGCCACTTCTTGAAACTCTGACTCGGTTATAAGTGCAACACTCCCAAAACTTATGTATATCAGACTTAGGGGCTTGGTTGTCTAGCCATGAGAGAACGCTTCGGTCTTGTTCGATCAAGCTGCTTGAGGACGCCGGGAAGTACTTGTGGAAAGGGCCTAAGGTAAAGCTCGGAATTGAAAAATCATGGGAGATGGTTTCTAGTGCAGATTCTTCGAGTTCTTTGAAGGCGTTCCAAATGATCCCTGATGATGCCTTCATCTGGTGAAGCATGTCGGAGACAAATTCTCCCATAGATTCTGGGTTGTTGGTCATCTTTACGATGTCTTTGACTTTCATAAGTGGAAATTCCGGCACCGATGTCTCATAATTTGAATCTGGAAACATTCCTTCAAAAGTTAGGAAACTATAAACTGCTTGAAGGATAAATTAACCAGGAACCAAACCTTCTTTCGTAAGGTTAAAATAACCACTTTCAGAGGAAAAGGGTAAAGCGACATAAGCAAGGACGCAACCCAGACTGCTTGTCCGGAGCACCATCCGAGGGAGCTTAACGGAATCCGCCACCGCTTGCGTGAAGTGGAATCCGGCATCTGTTATTAGACAAGAAACCGATCCCTCACCATATTCTGCCAATAACCCAGTCAAACAATCCCGAAATGGATCTTCACAGCTTCTGTTAAGATACTGGATGATGACGCCGGCGTCTACTTTCGTTGCCAACTCAAAAAATCGGTCCGAGATGGACTTAAAGGTGAAGTGAGGATAGTTGGAATGAATGGGGGAGTTGTATTCGGCGTGTATGATGGTTATTTCAAAACCTTGGTTGTGAAGAATGTTTGCTAACTGAAGCATGGGATTGATGTGACCTTGGAATGGTAGGGGAAACAAAATTATTCTCCGGCGAGTTGCCGTTAATTGTCTCGAACTGAGGATGGTATCTCTTCCATGGGTCTCCATGTGCAAGACTTGGAAGATTTTCGTGCTACAACAACACGATTTAAGTCTCTATTTATTGGTATTGATAGAAAAAATTGTAGTTGTAGTCCTTGGTTATATGAATGCATGTTTAATTTAGTGATTTCATTTTTTATTTTTCTTATCAAGTCCCTTTCTTAAGTTATTGTACATAAGATGTGCAAGTCTTCGTACCCAAAATGAACTTGATGACTAAAGAAGTAAAGTCAATATTCCAGATTGGAAAGATATTTTTTTCTTAGACTAGTCGAAATTGATCTAAACGTACGATTCTAGAATTTCATTTTTATCGAATTTGAAGTATATAATAAGAACAATCTTATCTTACTAAATAATATAATTAAGTTTTCATAATATTTCTTTCTAACTAGCTCAAAATTTTAAAATAATTTAAACATTTAAGTTCAAATTTTGTTTCATTAGAAATAATTTGTCAAAATTTTAACAAAAACGGTTAACCTTGATAAAAAAAAATTAGGTTCATTTTAGTAAATAGTAAACAACAAATATTATAGTTAGTAAGTTATAACTCATATGATACTATTAGGGTTAGAATGTTTTTCCCATCCAATGTATTCCCTTCATTCCACACAC